ATGTACCGCCCATCTACAGCTCTTAATGCAAAACATATGCTGCCATACTGACCTACTATTCAGCATCTGGCAAAGAAAGAAAGAGGAAAAGAGGAGATAGTGCAGAGAAGGAAAAAAGAAAGTGAACAATGCTACCACCCTACCAGATACAGCTTAACCTGTAAAACAGCTTCTGAAATATGGAGACCAATCACAATGGACCCAGATACACCAGAGGAAACAAGAATGATATTTACTCAATAGCTTTCTTTAATGTTTATTACATAATGTTGGAGAAGAGTAATCTTGCGTTTGTGGCCTGTTTTAAAACAAAGCATTATGGACTAAAATGTCCTCATACTACATACACAAATCTTTATGATATAGTTTCTAAATACAGTAGTTCAGTCAACTGAGTGATATATTACATAATCAACCTAAATTGCTCTTGCACAGCTGGTATACATAAAATTGGGCACCGCTGTGTAACAGACATTACCGCTAGTTCATATTTCAGAAATCATTCCATTTCCTTTGAGCTGTCATGAGCAAAATGAGTAGACTCATCAAGGATACTCTGACGCAAAACTGCAGTCAAAACAAATACAGCTACAAACTCCACCTATTAATTCCACAGATATAGTTATATAGAATACATACTTGCAGGTCACACTGAGCTTGGCCTCATATGTGACATTGTATCATTAGAAATGAATGGGAACTTTACAGGCAATGGTAACATTAAAGAATACTGCTTGTACACTCTTCTAGTTTTAGTCTAATTTACAGAAGCAATAAGCACAACTTAATTGATCACTAATGATTTCTGTGATATTGTGACCACATGAGCACAGCTAACCACAAGTCGGCTTATTCTGTGCAGAAAAAATGCTTTACTAAGACCGACTGATAATATTGCAATACATACTAAATACCACAGACAGCATTGAGCATCTACAAAAAAGGTTTGTCCCACATACATAAAGCCTAAGGTAAACTAGTTCCACCGGCTGCATGGCTTGCAGAGAATGTTTCTGCGTGCATTGAAGAGACAGCTGAACTGGATTTACTTGTTTTTCACCTGATCTGTACCTGTTCTTCACCAGCTGACAGGCTGAAAAAGACACTGAATTTGAGACAAGCAGGGTCTGTGAAAGCATCCTACCATGGGATCCAGGGATCACACAAAGCCGAAACGTTTCAAGCGTAACAGAAGCCTAATATTGCTCGAGGAGCTATGAAAAAATGGTGTCGCTTTCAACCATAACAAGAGGAAACTGTCTCATTGTGCACACACGCATAAGCACATGCTTATTTAAAGCAGAACCCAGCCCATCCTTATAGGAATATGTACGGAAGTGAGTTCACCTACACCTACCTGCATCTCTCTGTGTCCTGTAACCATGCACACTAATGTGTGTAACTTACAGTTTTCCACTATTACATAAGACTAAGCCAGGTTGGCATGACAGAATATGTTAATAATGAGTTAAAAACAGTAACTGCAATGTGTCTAACAGGAACACTGATCTGGGAAAGTGGAAACACAATGGTTTCTATCTGTCACAAGCCTGGACAAACACATAGTGCCAAAAATAGCAAGAAACTGGGTTGTTTGTATAAGTACAACCTGTTCAAGGAGGGCTAAGAAAGGAGAGGCTGTTTCCATCTAAGCGAACAAGAGATGGAGGGCAAACAATAGCTGAATATGACACCCAGCTGAGGCCGTTTATCTAGCAGACCAGCCACTACATTCATAAGATGTTAATAATAACTAAAAACGTACATAGGGTTCATATACATACACAAATCTCCAGTAAATTTAAATGTATGTAATTAATATAGAATAAATAAAAAATGTTTAGTATTAGTTTGTACTTGTTTTGATCACACTGAAAAAAAGCTTTTTATCTGAATTTTGAGCATTTATGATGCCAATATCCTATAGGATTCGGTGAATGGTCACATCCATAGGGATGTCTAATCTTGTAGCTGTTAAAATTCGTTTACTTGATGTAAATGACCACAGAAAGAAGTTAAAAACAATAACACCGAGCAGCTGCTGTAAGCTACTGCATGTCGATAAGGATGCTGGAAAACGGTTTCCAAAACAGGAGCAGTGTCCCTTGTGTTTATCTCTGTACGTGACTGTGATAAGTATATTTTCACTCACCATTTTCATTCGTTTATCACACCGCAGCCGACCTTCTTTTATCCTTTTTGTAATTGTTTATTAAAACAAAATAAGCCTATTAAA